GGACCCGGTATGTATAGGAGATTTTCCTGGGTGGATCGAGGTGACCACTGATGGAGAAAAGAAATGAGGCGGTCCCTAAAATACAAAGGTCCTTGGCCATTTTGAGCTCTAAATGTCAGGATCAGTATCTTGTAAGAGATCCGATGTTCTATTGGTAGCCAATGTAGTTGTTGCAGAATCGGTGTGATATGGGATCTTAGAGATGATCCCGCTAGCAGCCTGGCCGCTGCATTTTGGACCATCCGAATCTTCTGGGTTGTTGACTTCGGAAGGCTGGCATATAAGGTGTTGCAATAGTCCAACCTCGTGGTGACTGCTGCGTGGATTACTGTTGCCAATGCTTCTTCCAAAAGGTAGGATGCCAATTTCCTTGCCTGGCGAAGATGAAAGAAGGCCTGCTTACTTATGGCAGTGATCTGTGCCTCCATTGTCAGCGATGAGTCCAACACAACCCCAAGGCTTTTAACAGTGGCAGACGGAATCAGAGCTTCCCCATCGAAATCAGGCAGAGACTGGATTAATTCTGGCAGCTGGTCAGACCAGAGTATCTCAGTTTTTGCAGGATTCACTTTGAGTCTGCTCGCTCGCAGCCAACTCATCACTGCTTCCAAACACAGCCTAAAGTTCTCAGGAATCGCGGTTGTCCCAGGTTCGAGACACAAGAGTAGCTGGGTATCATCTGCATACTGTAGCACTCTAGGCCAAAGCCCCACACCAGTCCAGCAAGTGGCCGGACGTAGATGTTAAACAACAGGGGCAAGAGGATGGCACCCTGGGGAACTCCACAGCAAAGGCAGGAGCTCTCAGAGCTTTGGCCTGACCACTCCACCCTCTGTCTCCGGTCCCGGAGGAATGAATTGAACCATTTGAGGGCTAAACCTCGTACACCAGACATAGCCAATCGATGAATCAGCAAGTCATGGTCCACGGTGTCGAATGCAGCTGTAAGGTCCAAGAGTACCAATAGCGCTGATCCGCCTCGGTCTAATTGACGACGAATTTCGTCAGTAATAGCTACCAAGACAGTCTCTGTCCCATGACCTGAACGAAAGCCTGATTGAAAGGGGTCCAAACCCGGTCTCATCTAAGAATTGCTGTAGCTGCCCCGCCACTGTCTGTTCAATCACCTTGCCCAAAAACGGAAGGTTTGAAACTGTGGAGGCATTACTTTTCGTTCAACCCTCATAGAATTGCAACATGCATGATGTTTGACTGCAAACTTTCTTTCCATCTGAAATGTATAGAAAGCTCCCACGTTCAGCTCCATTCAGGTATCCTGGGCTTTTCTCTATCATATCAGGGAAAGGGAATTCTCCACAGACCACTCTTCCCTGGAATGATGGAGTAAAGTGTTTGAATTCTCCCACGTTTCAGATGCTTTGCTGGGCCTCTTTCCAGTTCCTTCCCTTTGCACTCTCCTTCCCTCCCTTTTTTTTCCTTTCCGTCTTTTTTGCAGAGTTCCTGTTTTTTCCATGGGATGCTTTTTGAGCCGGAAAGACCTTGCGCGCCCTGGTCGCAGGAGCCATTTATTAGCCGCGCAACCAGAAGGGAAGGCGGCGGAGAGGAGCCATCCAAGTGGCCTCTGATGCAGCCACAATGAGAGGCCAAGCTGCTTTTGAGGATCACTTTCAGCCGTTCTGGAGGTTAAACGCCTGTTTAGAGGCCCCTATTGAAGGCCCAGACGGGGGTCTGGCATTGTTTGAACACCCTCCTGCTTTGTTTGGCTGTGAATTGGGACACACATACACACACACCGCTCGCAAACCCCCTCCCCTTGCCTTCCCCAGGTCAAACAGAAGAGAGCCAGGGATGGGCCGTAATGACATACAGCCCTCTCGGGTGGTTGGTTGCTTGGGCTCCGGCTTTCTTTGAGCAGCAGTTTAACCCAAGCTCCGAGGCCTGGCCTCCACCTCACTGATCTCTGCTTGACACCCCATTAGCACATGAATGGGATCCAAAGAGCTTTAACTCCCCCTGACCTCCCTTCCCTGGCCCCACAGCACCCCTCTCTCTCGATCCCTATGCAAAACACAGAGGCTGGAGGGAAATCAAACAAAGCTGCTGGGACCAGGCCCCCTTCCTTCCATTGTCACGGCTTGCAACGGTCGCCCTCCCGGACCCAGAACACTCTTGGGCGTTTGACTTGGCAAACGGGCCGGGATGTTTGTGGCGACTTCTGAGTGCTTTATTGGGAAAGAATTGGATCCTTTGCATAGGGCAAAATGTCTCCACACAGAGCCGAATAAGTTGTATGTGTGTTAACAATACAATGTTCCCTCACTTTTTGCGGGGGTTACCTTCCAGGACCTCCTGGAATAAGTGAAAACTCGCAATGTAGGGACATGTTGAGATTAATTTCACAATTCTTCAGCAGATCAGTTGCACAACTTCAGCGCTTTCCAGTAGCTTCTTCCTGCACAGTATTTTCAGTCAACTGCTCCCACAAACTGCAGTCACTCTGGAACTCTTTTACAGGCACTTGAGCACATGCCCGGCCATTGTCAGTTTTACTATTGTTTTCCCCCAGTCTAGATGACATTACAAACTTACCACAGCACACAGTTATATCTTGTCTTAGCAGACAGGTTCTTTTAATCAATTACATAGAGCCTTCGAAGACAAGATATAGCACTGTGTGCTGTGAGAGAAATAATGGCATCTGACGGGGGAATAAAAAACAAGGCAATCAGAGATTGTATGTAGAGAACGTGTATATAAGGAAGTAATGCATACAGTTATATCTCCTCGTCTGTATCTGTCTTAGCAGGCTTTTAAATTACATATAGCCTTCGACGAACAACATCACAGCACAAGGAGAGATATACACTGTACATGACTTCCTTATATACAATTCTATACAATTACACATAGCAATCTCTGATTGGTTCCCAACTCATTAACTTAACTCAGACCCAGGATTACATCATTCACAATCACCTGGACTAGGCCAGAACACATTCCCCAAATGAAGTTCTATATACAGTTAATGCATGACTCAGCATTTCCAATAGAAGCCTATTAGCAGTGCATGACTCCGCTATATTACATTACAATACATTGTAAAACCTGACAGGACGCTATATTTATTTTAATATTTATATATTATTTTAGTAGTCCTACACTATTTTAAGTCTTTATAAACTTAAAATAAAGTGAAGGAAAGGAAGGAAAGACCAAGCCTGGAGGGAGGACTGAGGAGGGAAAGCACTGTAGGGAGCTGTGGCGGCAAAAACCTGCGAAATAGCGAAATTTCTAAATTAATATTTTTTTAAAAAACGCGAAACAGCAAGTCCGCTAAAAGTGAACCACGAAGTAGCAAGGAAACATTGTATTTGTTGTCAAAGGCTTTTGTGGCCTGAATAAATGGGTTGCTGTGAGTTTTTTGGGCTGTATGGCTATATAGAAGTCCCCGGTGGCGCAGTGGGTTAAACCACTGATCTGCTGAACTTGCTGACCAAAAGGTTGGCAGTTCAGGAGCGGGGTGAGCTGCAGTTAGCCCCAGTTCCTGCCAACCTAGCAGCTGGAAAACATGAAAATGTGAGTAGATCAATAGGTACCACTCCGGCGAGAAGGTAACGGCGCTCCATGCAGTCATGCCAGAGCGCTCCATGAGCCTCCCAGATGTTCCTATATAACAGTGTTTCTCACCCTGGGGGTCGGGACCCCTGAGGGGGTCGCGAGGGGGTGTCAGAGGGGTTGCCAAAGACCATAAGAAAACACAGTATTTTCTGATGGTCATGGGGATTCCATGTGGGAAGTTTGAGCCAATTCTATCATTGGTGGAGTTCAGAATGTTCTTTGATTGTAATGAACTATAAATCCCAGCAACTACAACTCTCAAGTCAATTTTCTCCAAACTCCACCACATTTGGGAATATTGAGTATTTGTGCCAAGTTTGGTGTAGATCCATCATTGTTTGAGCCCACAATGCTCTCTGGATGTAGGCGAACTACAACTCCAAAACTCAAGGTCAATGCCCATCAAACCCTTCCAATATTTTCCATTGGTCATGGGAGCCAAGTTTGGTTCAAATCCATCGCTGGTGGAGTTCGGAATGCTCTTTGATTATAAGTGAACTATAAATCCTAGCAACTACAACTCCCAAATTACAAAATCAATCCTCGCCCAACTCCACTAGCATTCACATTTGGGTGTATTGGGTATTTGTGCCCAGTTTGGTCCAGTGAATGAAAATGCATCCTGCATATCAGATATTTACATTATGATTTATAACAGTAGTAAAATGACTGTTATGAAGTAGCAATGAAAACAATATTATGGTTGGGGGTCACCACAACATGAGGAACTGTATTAAGGGGTCACGGCATTAGGAAGGTTGAGAACCACTGCTATATAACAACTCCCATTAACTCCAGGGCCAGCTAATACCTCCCCAACAAAGGATTCCCTCAGGCCTTGAAGCTGCAAGGCCATTCAATGCTAATCAAGATGGTCTATGGCAACATTCACACTTGCTTCCAACAGACAAGAGTCTTTCTCCCACCCTGGACATTGTTCTACAGGAAAATATATAAACCCAATTTTCCTAGTTTCCAACCGACTTCACAACCTCTGAGGAAGCCTGCCATAGATGCAGGCGAAATGTCAGGAGAGAATGCTGCTTGAACATGACCAGACAGCCTGGAAAACTCACAGCAACCCAATATATTGAGTTGCCAATGTAGAATTATATTTATTTATATCCCAAAGGAGGCCCAAAGTGGCTTAACATCAAAGCATTAGCACACTATTATTATTATTATTATTATTATTATTATTATTATTATTATTAGATATTGTATATTTGTTTTCTACTTTTCTGGATAGTTAATATTTGAGGAAAAATAGTAGTAAGGAGCAAAGGTTGTAACAATAGATCTACTTTTGCCTGAGATGTGAAGCCAAAACTGCCTTAGAGAGGTCCTCTCTTTCCTGCAGGCTTGCACTCTGCTCTGCGCATGCGCCTTGCATGGTCTCGCGCTTCTCGTCGCCAGGCAACGCCGGATGTGAGGTGGACGCGTGCTTCTGGTGTGGGCAGAGCCGTTCCCTTAAGCAAGATGGCGGCGCCCGTCTCCCTTCAGCTGGAGTTTGGGTAAGAGAAGCGCTGAGTGGAAATAGTTTCAAGTAAAAGGTGGAGTTTCTTTCGGGAAGGTTTCAAACGGGTTCTGGGGGAGTTCGGGGGGGGGGGGTGGTTTGTTTGCGAGCGTGAGCCAATGGAGAAACGTTTGAGGAGGCCCAAATAGAAAAAGTTGGGGAAATGAGGCCTAGAATCATAGAATCCTAGAGTTGGAAGAAAAAAAAAGCTACAGACCAATCTCCCTGTTGTGCCACCTCTACAAAGTTCTGGAGAGACTTATTTTGCATAGAATTACACAAAAAATAGACCCCTGTCTGATCCCACAGCAAGCTGGCTTCAGAAAAGGCAAAAGCTGCACATCGCAAGTGCTGAACCTGACTCAGCACATAGAAGATGGCTTTGAAAGGCAGCAGATCACAGGAGCTGTCTTCATAGACCTGTCCGCAGCCTATGATACTGTGAACCACCGCCTCCTCCTGAGGAAAATGTATAATATTTATTTATTTATTTACTTTGCTTGTATACCGCAGTTTCTCAGCCCGTAGGCGACTCAGCGCGGTTCACAACAAGAGCAAAAAGTCAATCATACAACATACAATATATAAAACCATTAACAGCATAATAAACAAAATAATGACACATCAATAACAACACATTAACGTCTCGTAACTAAAATCATGATCCAATTCGTCATTCATAATTCCGTTTCCTATATTCATCGTTCATTGCACTATTTATCCGAATGCCTGTTCAAACAGCCAGGTTTTTAGTTTTCTTCGAAACACCATTAACGAAGGGGCTGATCTAATGTCCATGGGAAGGGCGTTCCACAGCCGAGGGGCCACCACAGAGAAGGCCCTGTCCCTCGTCCCCACCAGCCGTGCTTGTGATGCAGGCGGGATCGAGAGCAGGGCCTCCCCAGAAGATCTTAGAGTCCAGGTGGGTTCATAGGCAGAGATACGTTCGGATAGGTAGCTTGGGCCAGAACCGTTTAGGTTCTAATAATATCTAATAATATCACAAAGGACTACCACCTCACCCGCCTCATAGGAAACCTGCTACAAAACAGCTTTTTTGTTGAGTTCCAGGGCCAGAGATGCAGATGGCAGAAACAGAAGAACGGCCTGCCTCAGGGGAGCGTGCTTGCTCCATCCATGTTCAGCATCTACACAAATGACCAGCCACTGCCAAAAGGGATGGAGAGCTTCATATATGCTCATGATCGTGCCGTTACTGCTCAAGCAGGGAGCTTTGAGATGGTTGAACAGAAGCTCTCCGAAGCTCTAGGTGCTCTTGAAGGGGTGAATAGAGCTTATTAGGAAATTATTAGAGCTTTTTGGGAAAGTGCTGAAAACTGCAAAGCCTAAGGAAGCCTTTGCCATAGAAAAGGTGCAAGGGCAAGAAGAGAGACAGTTTTTGGAAAAGAACAGGAAAGAACAGGATGCAGAGCTGAAGGACGGGGAACAGGATGACATCCAAGGATTTGCAGTCATAACATGAATGAGAGAGGCTCTTAAGTAGGTGAAAGGGATCTGTCCTTGTAGGCGTTAAGAGGAAGGAGGTGAAAGAACATGTATTTGAAAGGAAGTTTGGAAGAGGGGTGGATCTGTTCATGGTCTGTTCATGACACGGCAGAAAAAGGGTATAAGAATGATATTGGAAAGATCAAATGGCACAGGCAGCTCTTTGATAGACATCTGATTGTCTTGCTGTTTCTGTCCAGTGCGACCGCACTTGCAATAAAAAGTTTTTTGTTTCAAACCTCATGGAGACATGCCGTCATTTTAAGATTCACCACATTTAAACTATTGAAATAGTTCCCTTCACTCTTACCGCCTATTACAGGGAAAACCAGCTGATCCCTAATCCATCTAAAACACAGACATGTGCTTTTCATCTCAAGAACAGACAAGCATCCCAAGCTCTGAGGATCACCTGGGAAGGAATCCCACTGGAGCATTGCAGCGCACCCAAATACCTGGGAGTCACTTTGGACCGTGCTCTGACCTACAAGAAGCACTGCCTGAACATCAAGCAAAAAGTGGGTGCTAGAAACAATATCATACAAAAGCTGACTGGGGATCACAACCAGACACAGTGAAGACATCTGCCCTTGCGTCGTGCTACTCTGCCGCTGAGTATGCATGCCCAGTGTGGAAGACATCTCACCACGCTAAAACAGTAGATGTGGCTAAATATGTGAGAGGAAGCCACAGGGAGGAGGGAGCAAGCTTGTTTTCTGCTTCCCTGGAGACTAGGACACGAAACAATGGCTTCAAACTACAAGAAAGGAGATTCCATCTGAACATGAGGAAGAACTTCCTAACTGTGAAAGCCGTTCAGCAGTGGAACTCTCTGCCCTGGAGTGTGGTGGAGGCTCCTTCTTTGGAAGCTTTTAAACAGAAGCTGGATGGCCATCTGTCAAGGGTGATTTGAATGCAATATTCCTGCTTCTTGGCAGGGGGTTGGACAGGATGAGGTCTCTTCCAACTCTTTGATTCTATGATTGATTCTATGATTCTAATTTGAAAGGCCCAATTTGGAGGTGGGAAAGGCCAGTGAGACCATGGGCAAAATACAATATATTATATTATTGCCATAGCACATTATTAGCATAATAATAATAATAATAATAATAATAATAATAATAATATTTTGTTTGAACCCCACTACCATCTCCCCAAGGGACTCGGTGCGGCTTACATGAGGCCAAGCCCACAGCACATCAATAAACAAAGGCGATAACGAATAGTCAAAACAAAACAGTTAAAATAATCTCAAAAACAGAAAAATACACAATAAGCAATAAACAATAACATACAGCATTAAAAACCTATGGCCAAACGTCAGGAGAAAATGCCTTTAGAACATGGCCATATAGCCCGAAAAATCCTACAAAAACCCAGTGATTCCGGCCTTGAAAGCCTTCGACAATTCTAAAACAGTTTACAATGTGGATCATAATAAATTGTGGCAAGTTCTTGGTGTCTGGGAAGACCAAGACCCCCTTGCCTGTCTCCTGAGGGAACTGTATAATGACCAAACAGCAACAGTAAGAACAGACCACAGAACCGGAGACTGGTTCAAGATTGGGAAACGCATTACGCAATACTCTCACCTGACCTATTCAACTTGTATGCAGAACACATCATGCAACGTGTGGGACTTGATTAATCCAAGGCTGGGGTGAAAATTGCTGGAAGAAACATTAACAACCTTAGATATGCAGATGATACCACTTTGACGGCTGAAAGTGAGGAAGAGCAGAGGAGCCTTCTAACCAAAGTGAAAGAAGGGCAAAAGCTGGGTTGCAGTTAAACATTTAAAAAAATCTAAGATGATGGCAACCAGACTGATTAATAACTGGGAAATAGAGGGAGAAAACATGGAGGCAATGACACGGTTTGTATTTCTACGCGCGAAGATTATTGCAGACACAGAGTGCAGCCAGGAAATCAAAAGATGTTTACTTCTTGGGATGAGAGCAATGACCAATCTCGATAAAATAATGAAGAGTAGACTCATCACACTGGTAACGAAAATCCGCATAGTTAAAGCAATGGTATTCCCCATAGTAACCTATGGATAAGAGAGCTGGACCATAAGGAAGGCTGAACGAAGAAAGAGAGACACTTTTGAACTGTGGTGCTGGAGGAAAATTCTGAGAGTGCCTTGGACCGTGAGAAGATCAAACCGGTCCATACTCCAGGAAATAATGCCCAGCTGCTGACCGGAGGGAAGGATATTAAAGGCAAAGACGAAGTACTTTGGCCATATAATGAGAAGATAGGAAAGCTTGGAGAAGACAATGATGCTGGGGAAAATAGAAGGAAAAAAGAAGAGGGGCCGAGCAAGGGCAAGTTGGATGGGTGGTATCCCTGAAGTGACTGGCTTGACCTTGAAGGAGCTGGGGGTAGTGGCGGTCAATAGGGAGCTCTGGTGTGGGCTGGTCCAGGAGGTCATGAAGACTCAGAAATGACTGAATGAATAAACAACAAATCTCAATTTGCAGAGTACAGGTTTTCCAGGGCATTATTTCTTCAAGAGATACCTTGGTATTGGAGGCAAAAACAAAACTGTAGAAAGGACAGGGATGCATTATAAAACAAATAGTTCAGTGCATTTCAGTCAACATTTATTCAAAATGTAATAATAATGCACTTGTGGGGGAAAGAACAAGTTAGGCAGATGTTGCATAATTCAGCACAAAAAATTGAGCGTTCTAGAGATCACTTTGGAGTTTCTTCCAAATGTTGCCAGTTTACAGTTATCTGGAGAGCGGGTTGAGCTCCCTCTGTCAGCTCCAGCTCCCCACGCAGAGACATGAGAGAAGCCTCCCACAAGGATGGTAAAACATCCAGGAGTCCCCTAGCAATATCCTTGCAGATGGCCAATTCTCTCACACCAGAAGCGACTTGCAATTAATCAAGTCACTCCTGACATGAAAAAAATACATTAAAATCAATAAAAATCATAAAAAATAAAAATTACACAAACTGTTTAAAACATAACACAGAAACCTGAAATCATAATCCAGGAACAATTCCAACTATAACATACCAGTACATTAAAGAAACTTAAAAATTTAACACAGACCTGAAATCATAATCCAGACGCCACTGAGACCTTTCTGAGGCTTGAAAAATCAAATTAGGATTTCTTGTTATTGTTGTTTTGATTTAATTTTGTAATGTGGTGTTTATATTTTATATTGTGTTTTCTTTGTTGTAAGCTGCCCCAAGTCCCCCCAGGGATAGAAAGTGGGATATAAATAAAGCTTTATTATGTCGAAGGCTTTCATGGCCAGAATCACTAGGTTGTTGTAGGTTTTTTCGGGTTATATGGCCATGGTCTACAGGCATTCTCTCCTGACGTTTCGCCTGCATCTATGGCAAGCATCCTCAGAGGTAGTGAGGTCTGTTGGAACTAGGAAAAAGGGTTTATATATCTGTGGAATGACCAGGGTGGGACAAAGGACTCTTGTCTGCTGGAGCGAGGTGGGAATGTTTCAACTGACCACCTTGATTAGCATAATGGCCTGACTGTGCCTGGAGCAATCTTTTGTTGAGAGGTGATTAGATGTCCTTGTTTGTTTCCTCTCTGTTGTTGTGCTGTTGCAATTTTAGAGCTTTTTAATACTGGTAGCCATATTTTGTTCATTTCATGGTTTCCTCCTTTCTGTTGAAATTGTCCACATGCTTGTGGATTTCAATGGCTTCTCTGTGTAGTCTGACATGGTGGTTGTTGGAGTGGTCCAGCATTTCTGTGTTCTCAAATAATATGCTGTGTCCAGGTTGGTTCATCAGGTCCTCTGCTATGGCTGATTTCTCTGGTTGAAGTAGTCTGCAGTGCCTTTCATGTTCCTTGATTCGTGTTTGGGCCTTGCTGTGTTTGGTGGTCCCTATGTAGACTTGTCCACAGCTGCATGGTACACGGTAGACTCCTGCAGAAGTGAGAGGATCCCTCTTGTCCTTTGCTGAACGTAGCATTTGTTGGATTTTCTTGGTGGGTCTGTAGATAGTTTGTATGTTGTGTTTCCTTCATCAGCTTCCCTATGCGGTCAGTGGTTCCCTTGATGTATGGCAAGAACACTTTTCCTCTGGGTGGATCTTCATCTTTATTCTCGTGGCTTGTTCTTGGTCTTGCAGCTCTTCTGATGTCTGAGGTGGAGTCTCCATTGGCCTGTAGAGCCCAGTTGAGGTGGTTCAGTTCATGCAGCTGTGGACAAGTCTACATAGGGACCACCAAACGCAGCATTGCCCGCCCTGGTCATTCCACAGATATATAAACCCTTTTTCCTAGTTCCAACAGACCTCACTACCTCTGAGGATGCTTGCCATAGATGCAGGCGAAACGTCAGGAGAGAATGTCTCTAGACCATGGCCATACAGCCCGAAAAAACCTGCAACAACCCAAGAAAACATATCATTTTATGCTGGTCAGCCAAGGTGGAAGGGATGTTTAAACATTAAGGTCTTTGCCTGTTTGGCGATTACAGTCTCCAGCAGCCATGATGGCTGGGAGTGATGGACATTGCAGTCCAACAGATCTGGAGGCGCTAATTTGGGAAAGGTGGGAGTTAGCATGACCTTTTGGCGATATCTATGGGGACCCACTGAGGCTCAGCAAAGCTGCATGTGTTTGGTTCTGTCTCCCCGCACCCCGCCACCCCCTCTTTTCTTGGAAATGCTTAAATGGACGCTCTATGCATTAGCCTTGCAGCTGAGTCCCCCCCAGCTCATGTGTTACAGAAAGGACCTTCTCTGCCATCGCAGGATCTGTGAAAAGCACAAAGTATGAGCTTGTTTTCCCAGCAAGCAGAAAGGGGCCTCTCTCCTGTCATGGCCGGGGCTTGTTCGCCTACATGAATCTCCAGATCTGTCTCGCATTAATAATCGCGACCTCAGTTTCCAGATAACAGTGTTTTCTGTGAGCAAGGCAGCCCCAACAGAGCCATCTTTGGGGACAGTAACTGGGGAGAAGGAGTTAGCATTGCGGCCAGTGCTACAAAGGCGGTCTTGTGCCCCTTCCAAAGAGTACAGCCAAAAAATCTTTCCTCACGTAACAGAGTTTCAAAGGAACTGGGTCTTGGGGTGATATTTCTGCACTGATATGTTTTGATATTCCCTCCCTGCGTGTTTCTGTAATGTAGTGATTGCAAAGAAAATGTTGATGCAAATAGAGTCATAGCTAAACCTATTTTGAGACTCATGTCCCTGGGGTGGGTGGTTGTCACCTGCTTGTCATGCTGACAAGGGGATTCTAGGAAAGACAATTTTCCAAGTTCTGAACCACATGTAGAGCACTTCACCTTCTTCCACCCCATGTGGTTGTTGTTATGACCCTTTTGTACCATGCTTCGAGCCATAAGGAGAGGTGGACAATACAATTATTAGGTTCTTGTGGGTTTTTTCGGGCTATAGGGCCATGTTCTAGAGGCGTTTCTCCTGACGTTTCGCCTGCATCTATGGCAAGCATCCTCAGAGGTAGTGAGGATGCTTGCCATAGATGCAGGCGAAACGTCAGGAGAAATGCCTCTAGAACATGGCCCTATAGCCCGAAAAAACCCACAAGAACCTAGTGATTCCAGCCATGAAAGCCTTCGACATACAATATTATTATTATTATTATTATTATTATTATTATTATTATTATTATTATTATTGTGCCCTCATTGCACATGATGCTTTCTCTTGATGTGAGTTCTCTTGTGTAATGATGATTCATGTTTGTGTGTTTTGCCTTTCAGAGGTGGAGCAGAACTCTTGTTTGATGGGATAAAAAAGCACCAGGTGACTTTACCCAGCCAGCCTGAACCTTGTGAGTATTTCAAAGATAGTCATTCTTTTAAAAATATATATATTTACTAGCCGTCCTCTGCCACGCGTTGCTGTGGCCCACATGGGGGTTCTGTGTGTGGGAGGTTTGGCCCAATTCTATCGTTGGTGGGGTTCAGAATGCTCTGTGATTGCCGGTGAACTATAAATCTCAGCAGCTACAACTCCCAAATGTCAAGATTCTATTTCCCCCAAACTCCACCAGTCTTCACATTTGGGCATATTGAGTATTCATTCCAAGTTTGGTCCAGATCCATCCTTGTTTGAGTCCACAATGATCTCTGGATGTAGGTGAACTACAACTCCAAAAGCAAAGGACACTGCCCACAAACCCTTCCAGTATTTTCTGTTGGTCAGGGGAGAACTGTGTGCCAAGTTTGGTTCAATTCCATCGTTGGTGGGGTTCAGAATGCTTTTTGATTGTAGGTGAACTATAAATCCCAGCAACTACAAATCCCAAATGACAAAATCCATTTTTTGGAGTGAAGAACATACATTGGGTTGTTAGATGTATGCTGTCCAAATTTGGTGTCAATTTGTCCAGTGGTTTTTGAGTTCTGTTAATCCCACAAACGAACATTACATTTTTATTTATATAGATTAGGATTTTGCTAACATATAGTTTAAAAAACAAAGAAAGTTAAGGAGGGTGGGGATTGGTTAGGTATGGCCAAACCAGGGGTTGGAGGGGTTGGGGGTGTCCTATAGGGAAGAAGAAGGAAAACGGGGGTGGGGAAGAGGGGGTAGGGGTGTCATTCTTAAATCAGTTCTCTCGTAAAAGTGGTCCACAGGGGGAAAAAAATTGTTCAAAGGGATTGCTGTGTGAGTCTGTTCAATATAAAAAGAAGCAGAGGTAGAGGAAAAACAAGGAGTTAGATGGCACCTTTAAGGCTATCAAATGTATCTTAGCATGAGCTCTTGAAGGAGCCCCCAGTGGTGCAAGGGATTAAACCACTGAGCTGCTGACCTTGCTGATCAAAAGGTCGGCGATTCAAATCTGGGGAGTGGGCTGAGCTCCTGCTGTTAGCCCCAGCTTCTGCTAAGCTAGCAGTTCAAATATAGTACAATATAGTACTGGCTGCTGTTCATTTTCCGGTCCCAATTCAAGGTGCAGGTTCTTACCTACAAAGCCCTGAACGGTTTGGGACCCGCCTACTTGCGTGACCGCATTTCTGTGTATGAACCCACACAATCTCTTCGATCATCTGGAGAGGCCCTGCTCATGCTCCCACCTCTTTCGCAGGCGCGATTGATTGGGACGAAGGACAGGGCCTTCTCGGTGGTGGCCCCTCGACTCTGGAATTCACTCCCTAAAGGCATCAGACATACCCCAATGCTAGCAGTCTTTAGGAGGAGCCTGAAAATGTGGTTGTTCCAGTGTGCCTTCCCAGAATAAGGAAAACTCTTAGCAATATATCCTCAAATGCACTTTAATATTGATTTAGGATTCTTTGCACGCCCTCATCTTTCTCTGAAAACCCTATCCTAGTTTATCCTACCTTGTTCATGCCCAGCATTTTAAATTTTAATTATTATATTTGGCCCGGCCATATGTTTTAAGTGCTGTATGTTATTGTTATTGTTTATTGCTTATTGTGTATTTTTCTGTTTTTGAGTTTATTTTGTTTTGTATTGACTATTCATTATCGCCTTTGTTTATTGATGTGCTGTGGGCTTGGCCTCATGTAAGCTACACAGAGTCCCTTGGGGAGATGATAGCGGGGTACAAATAAAGTATTATTATTATTATTATTATTATTATTATTATTATGCTAATACTGTGCTATGGCAATAATATATTATTATAAACTTTATTTATACCCCGCTAACATCTCCCGAAGGACTCGGTGCGGCTTACAAAAGGCCAAGGCCCTCAATAAAACAACAGCATAACGAATACAACAATAAAACTCATAAAGCAAAAATAAATAAATAAAAATAAAGCAATAACAATAAACATTAAAAACAATAAATCCACAGCGCATTTAAAACTAAGGCCGGGCCAAATGTAATGAATAAAATTTAAAAGTGCTGGACATTACAGGTGAAATGTATAGGTTTTTAGAGGTACGTGCGGTGTGCAGACAATCTTAAATCTCTAGTAAAGTGCATTTGGGACATGATGCTAGGAGCTTCCTATTCTGGAAAGGCACACTGGAACAGCCACATCTTCAAGCTCTTCCTGAAGACTGCCAGCGTTGGGGCTTGTCTAATGTCCTTGGGAAGAGAGTTCCAGAGTCGGGGGGCTACCACAGAGAAGGCCCTGTCCCTCGTCCCCACCAACTGCGCTTGCGACGCAGGTGGGATCATGAGCAGGGCCTCTCCAGATGATCGGAGAGATTGTGTGGGTTCGTATACAGAGATGCGGTCACGCAGGTAGGCGGGTCCCAAACCGTTTAGGGCTTTGTAGGTAAGCACCTGCACCTTGAATTGGGACCGGAAAATGAACGGCAGCCAATGGAGCTCCTTAAACAGGAGGGTTGACCTATCTCTGTAAGGAGCACCAGTTAACAACCTGGCCGCCGCCCGTTGGACCAGTTGGAATTTCTGGGCCGTTTTCAAGGGCAGCCCCACGTAGAGCGCATTGCAGTAGTCCAATCTGGAGGTGACCAAGGCGTGGACCATCCCGGCCAAATCAGCCTTCACGAGGTACGGTAAAGTAGTATTTACATATTACTTGTAAGCCGCTCTGAGTACCCTTCAGAGTGAGAAGAGCGGCATAAATGCTGTAAATAATTAAATAAAATGCATAAACCTCGCTTGCCTAGTTTCCAACAGACCTCTCAACCTCTGAGGATGCTTGCCATAGATGTGGGCGAAACGTCAGGAGGGAATGTTTCTGGAACATGGCCATCCAGACCAGAAAACTCATAGCAACGCAGTGATTCTGGCTGTGAAAGCCTTCAACAACACATAGCCATTGTGTCCACCTATGTCCACAGCCTTATTTGGGTCTTGCTGGCATTTTGTGGTTACGATGATCTCAGAGTTGGGTTTCTGGTTTGGATGGATGGATGGATGGATGGATAGATGGAGAGGGAGGGCACAGGTCAGTCCGCAGCCCTTTAAACCCCTCGGCAGCAGCAGCATTTGGTTCACACGGTTCCTGGTGCCAGCTGTTCCTTTCTCCTCTCCTGCCCTCCCTCCTCGTAGGGACTGTTTACTGAGCTCTCCTGGTCCCCTCCCCAGCTCCTGTGCAAAATTGCTTTTCAAAAGAGCCACTTTCTGCTTAATTAAACAATGAGCCACCCCCTCCCCGTCCCTCCACACATCTGTAAAGCCCCTTCTGCGGACTCTTTATCCCACAAACTGCTCCATTCTTAACTCCTTTCACTTGTAAATCTCGTCCACCACCGCTACCCCCCACCCACCCTTTTGCCCATGGTCTCACTGGCCTTTCCCGCCTCCAAATTGGGCCTTTCAAGTGAGAAGCTGAGAAGTTTGGTGGATGGATGGAGGGGTAGGCGAGAGCATTTGAGGACGAGAGCACTTTCAGGTTCAGTGCAAGTCCTTTCGGATTTTTCTGACTGTGTGAAGAAGCTTTTGCATCACCCTCAACTTTGGGGTGACTGTGTCAGACCTGCTCCTTGCGACAATAATTCCATCCTCAAACAGAGTGGTAGCAACGAATCTATTTGGAAATAGGGGAATCCATTAATAAACTGAATATGAAACCTTTACAAATTGGTGGCAGCATAGCCTAGTACCTCACAGATGGTGGCAGCATACTAGATTGAATAGAATATCAGACAACGAAGAGGAAGTCTTTACAAGTGGCTTGAGACTATGACTCTCGAGATTCAAGTTTGAATCTGGACTGTGGAAACCCACTGGGTGACTGTGGGCAAGTCACACTCTCTCAACCTCAGAGGAAGGCAAAGGTAACCTCCCACTTCTCAAATCATGCCAGGAAAACAACCTGAAGGTACACAATAAACCTAACGTTTGTTTGGTTTGTAATCCCAAAGATTTGTGGGCAGCAGATTAGAAGAGGCATACCTCCATCACACTCTGCCTGTCTCTGAGATCCATAAAGTTAAACAGTACAATGTAATTTGTTTATTTCTTTAATGTATATCTTACTTTCCTCCCATTACACACTGCATACTTCAACAGCCATGAGTCTGTTTTAACAGCCATGGCAACATCTTATGGCATCCTGAGATTAGCAATTTAGGAAGTTCTAGGGCCTCGCCATCATAGAGTGCCATAGAGTGGAACCATAGCCCTAGAATTGTGCAGAGTGAACTAACTCTGAATTGTTGTGAAAATAAAATGGGGGAATCATAGAATCATAGAGTTGGAAGAGACCTCATGCCCCATCCAGTCCAACCCCCTGCCAAAAAGCAGGAAAATTGCATTCAAAGCATCCCCAACAGATGGCCATCCAGCCTCTGTTTAAAAGCCTCCAAAGAGCTCAACGACACCACTGGATTGAACCCTTTTAGCTTTTTAATACAGTATAATGCTAATAATAATAATAATAATAATAATATGATATTATAATTATATATTTTATATTAAATGTAATATTACTAATAGTATTACAATATAATTGTATAGTACAATATAGTGATGTATAGAATCAAAGAGTTGGAAGAGACCTCATGGGCCATCCAGTCCAACCCCCTGCCAAAAAGCAGGAAAATTGCATTCAAAGCATCCCCAACAGATGGCCATCCAGCCTCTGTTTAAAAGCCTCCAAAGAGCTCAACGACACCACTGGATTGAACCCTTTTAGCTTTTTAATACAGTATAATGCTAATAATAATAATAATAATAATAATAATAATAATATGATATTATAATTATATATTTTATATTAAATGTAATATTACTAATAGTATTACAATATAATTGTATAGTACAATATAGTGATGTATAGAATCAAAGAGTTGGAAGAGACCTCATGGGCCATCCAGTCCAACCCCCTGCCAAGAAGCAGGAAAATCAAATTCAAAGCACCTCCGACAGATGGCCATC